AGACATGTTTTTCGTATAGCCTGCAAATTAATCAAACTATTGAGAAACGAATGAGTTAGTACTTTTAGCCTGTTTAAATATTCTCTGTTGCTATATGTGTCAGCGTAGTGAAGGCTAGTTGAAAATATTTTGATATTGCTAGAATTGGGATATATTGAGAGAGCAGGGCATTATTTTCTCGAAAATCTTTGCATCCCCCCTTTATTTAAAATTACATCCATTGAAATTTTTGTTCTAATGATTAGTTTTAAATTTCATTTGTTTGTAAATTTCTTTACCAAACAAGTAATATAAAAGTTTTTTAAAGTCAGTTCCTACTTAAGTCAACAAAGAAAAATAGATAAAAATAAATAAATAAATAAATAAATATACAAAAATTAAATTAATTTAAAACATTTTTTACGTGAAAAACTGTATTAACATCAAGTGTTCCACTACAAGTTAAAAAAATGTATTTGAGCTTGAGTGGATGAATAAAAAGTATTTTATTAACGATTGAAAATTGATTAATTAATAGTCAGTTCCTACTTAGGTCAACAAAGAAAAATTTTTTAAGTACAATTTTTTTTTAATTAAACATTTAAAAATTTTTTAATATGTGAAAAATCTGTATTAACATTAAATCTGTATTAACATCACTAGAAGTTTAAAAAAATGTATTTGAACTTGAGTGGATGAAAAAAAAGTATTTTATTAACGATTGAAAATTTGAACAAGATATAGTGAGAGCTAATAGTAGGAATTTAAAAAAAGATAACAAAAATTAGCATTTGACTAAATTTCTATATAATTGAGTGTGGTTGATATTCTGCTGATTAGGTTGCGATGATGACTCAGAATTTAATAGTCATTATCTGTCCTGTTAATATTCATTATCTGTTTAGTCTCGATATCCGAATGTGATACATATCATGATTATCCTTAAGCTGGATGTTTATCATTAATTTGCCTGCTTATATATTTGCTTCAGAATCGGTTACATAGACGAAAATCGCCGAGTTAAATTTAGAGGTTCGTTTTGGTGATCGCATCACCTCACGCCATTATCCTTTTCCGTGGCCTCCGCGATCCTCTGATCGATTGCCTGTGGATTTCTGTTTTTGGGGATATCTCAAATCCAGAGTTTACCTTTGCAATCCGAAAAGTTTGTCGGATTTAAAGGATTCTATATGGCGTGAGATTGCAAACATCCCTCATACCATGCTGCGATCAAAAATGTTTGATCGAAATAAAGGTATTCTTTTGTTCGATATGTGTTGTCATCAGTGATCGGTGTCTTGACTTCGTCATATGCAAATTTTCTGCATGCGCCCAGATCGTGTTTCGTTGGCTGATTTTCAGAACTCTTTTTTTGTGTATGCATAACACGTTCGTTTTTGGACATATGGGTACCGTTCCAGCGCAATTTAGGGTTTTCGCATGCGCTGAACATTTTGCGACCATAAAAGTTAGCGTTGCCATCCGTTATTTTTGAGTTTCTGTAAATGTAACCGTAACCGTGAGCGTCCCTGTGTTGGCATTCACAGAATCTCGAGCTCATATATCCGAATAACTATATTCTCATTTCGATCGGGTAACCGCGGACGCTAGAAATGCAGATGTTGTCAAAGTTCTTTATGACCACCCTGTATACTATAGTGCGGCATGCATAAAGTAAATAAAATTGAATTATGTTAACTGTCTGCAAACCTTCCCTTAAAATTTTCTATTTCAAATCTTAAATTTTTATTATATGCATTTAATTATTTTACATTTCACGCAGTGTTTAACAATATATTAATACTCAAATAAAAATATATGTAATTCTGATTTTCATTTATTAATATATATTTTAAAATATTTGGTGTGTCCAGAAGCATTCCCCCTTATACAAATTCAAGATACGCTCCTGACCTTTGTTCTCCTCAGACGTTTTCGAAAGCTTCATTTCAAATCTCGAAAGAAGTTATAATGACGCAGTGTGATTTCAGATATAGATAAATGGATATACTAATTATTATTTTAAGTTCTTTTTACAGGTTCAACATAGGATAATATTTCAATACAAATTTTCATTGATTAGTAAGAGGGCTTAAATGTTGTAAGAAATGAAGATAACTTTCACTTATGAATGTAATCAAATGTAAACGAAAATGTAGTTAGTTATAACTAACCAAAGTAGTGATTTGTTGTGGTTTGTAAAATGATGTTTAAAATGAAACATAAGTAATTAGTATTTAATTTTGTGCCGGTATGTTGTTACTGTGGAACTTAATTTATTATTATAGACCTTCTGCTCAAGCTGTATTAGTCTAGAGTTTATTACATTTCTCGAGCAAAAAAACAAGGCACTATCTCCTAAGATTCCAACCATGAAACTTGCGGTTGCGGAAATGGACGACGCGCTATGAGTTATTACAGCATGAAGAGCATACTTAGGAAAATGCAATAAGCTAATAAGCCTTCTTTCCTGTGTGTGGCATATGAATTTTAAGTGCTAAAAGTAAATGACTAAACAATGAGAATTTAGTTGTCCGGCGGTTATGCTCACCAAGCACAAATAAAGCTATTAAATTAAAAAATGGCACTACAGTACTATACTATGATATCTTCCAAATCTATTTTTAGTTTTAATTCCGTCTAAGGTACTTACCTATTAACGCCACCGCACTTACGTATTAACACAACCGCAGCAGAAGTTGCGCTGATGCGCCAATAAAGAGCAATCTTGTTCGCACGCAATTATCTTTTGGATTCCTTTTTACCTTGTTGTTTGCTGATTTTTGACACCATTTTTTAGTGCTACAAAAATGCGTCTTTGGGATTTGCCAAACACAGAACATGCAATTTTATTAGCGAAATATTTAAAAAAAAAAAAAAAAAAAGTTTAAAGTGCTTTAATTTATGATTTGTCACAAAAATTTTAGGTGTAGACTGGCGGCACTTAAAAACCGCCAAATCTGCAGCTGCGGTGGCGTTAATACGTAAGTACCCTGTCTAATATCATCTTCGGATCATCTTTAATTCTCTCTAGTACAAAGATAAATCATCTTTGGACCAAGAGTGTCTTATTGTGTGAATTTCTTTATTTAATCGTATTTTGTAAATCCTTGTTTTATGGTAAAGTTGATGTATAGTTCATAGAATATGGAGATTATAGAATAACTGAACATTTGGAATGTTTCTAAGCGATCAAATTTTTTGATTTCTCAAGACAATCTCAGAATACTCTTCTCTTGAACTTGTGATTCCCCCCCCTGCAAATAATATTTTTGGGCGATTAAAGTATCCATTGCGCCGCCCAGACGGTATTAGTGGTCAGGGGAGTCTTGACTGCAATACCTGGGTTCGAATCCCGGAGAAGGAAAGGTTATAACTGTCTGTAATAAATGTTCTATAATAAGAGACACCACCACATCTGGCCTTAGTATAGATTAATGGACTCTGTTACAAAGCTGTAACTATTCACAATCTGCCATTGTGTGTGTGTGGGGGGGGAGTATCCATAAGCAGTTTGCTGCTGTCACATTAAAGGTCTTCATTAACCTAAAGCCCCCCAGACGAGCGGTTAAAACCACTGAACATGCTAGGGATAAGACCTAGTATACGGTACGACGCGTTTATGAAAATTGTCTTCAACACGAAAAGGACGCGTTTACTGCTCATCATAAACAAAAAATACCGCTATCAAGACTAAACACGAAAGTCGCCCAAAATCGCCAAATCTCCGTGTGTGCCGTATACTAGGATTAAGCCCATGCGTATTCAAATCCAACGTACGGATTGACTGAATGGGTGTTTTTGGAGTTTCCCCGTGCGTAACTGAAATGTGTGATAGTTTCCTTTAAAACAGGGTTTCTTAAACTGCGGGTCGCGATTCCCAAGGGATTAGCGGGACCTGCAGCAGGGGTTCGCCAAAAATTTTAGCAGTTTTGATATTTCTTTAACTTATAATAATTTTTTACAATTACCAAATATTTTTACACAATGTATAAGAAAATACAGACAAAGAAAAAAAAAAACGAAAACGTTTCGACGCGTCGTTTTTATAATATAAACGTTCATTTTCTCTGCTTTGCACCTGACGCTGTCATTTCGTTTGTTACTTATTTAAAATTTTCGCATTGTTCGATGTCTTAAAATTAGAAATTAATGTTAATAGACCTAAAACTGCAGTAGTATATTACCGTGCAAGTGAAAAAATTGACAGTTTCACTCACGCTGTGTCGGATTTGCGCAATACGTATGGGGTCCCACAAAATTTTTGTATATATTCTGGGGTCCTGAGGGTCGCAAAAAAATCTCAGTGATAGAAAGGGGTCGCGACTGAAAAAAAGTTTAGGAAGCCCTGCTGTATAAAATGCTCTACGAAAACGTCCCTCCGATTAGAAAAACAATCTTACCGTGTTTTGCTATATTCAGTTAAACAAATTTGATTTATCTTTTAATTTAGCTCTAGGCATTCAATTTGTTACTCATACAACTGTTCCCAATTTTATATGTATATTATTTAGCACTTTGGTTACTCAGCGCTTTTTTTTTTTTTTTTTTTTTTTTTTTTGCGTGTGTTTGTGTATATGTGTGTGTATGTATGCATGTGTCTAACAAAATTATTCATTGATTTAGTTTATAAATTTGTGATGTTTCAATTAATACTTTATAATAGTGTAGCGTAACTGTTTGTTATTATCCAACCATTTGATAGCATATATTTCTATTTTGTACTATATATTTTAGGTAGTTTACAACATTTCATTTATTTATTTTTTAAAGAAATACTCTCAGGCTATGCATGTATGCATTTAAAGAGTCATACACACAGGAGGAAATAGTTTTAATTCGAATTAATGTGGTTAATTTCTAATTTTATTAGACGAAATGAAATTTTTTATATCAAACTAGATAAATCTAGCGACTAAATATCTTCAAAAGTTGCGTATCTTTTATATTTATTTTTATTACAATAGCTTTACCTTTTTGTGATAGAAATATATATATTTTTTATTTTAAAATTTATTTACCTGTCGTCAGTTTTCACTGTAATTTCCTCCTGGGCGAAATCGCTGACATCCAATTTGACCTCGAAACCCCGGACTGGATTTGATATTGACATTTTACCAAATTTCTAAAACTGAAATTTGCCAAGGAGTTTACTTCTTTGATTTAAAATGCCTGTCTGTTCGCAATACCGATTGTCTGCGATATCACGCGATTTATTTTTTTCACTTACGTAAGATTAACATATATTTCACCTTGAAAGTGGTGTTACCTTGGTAACAGGACATTAATAGCAGTATGAATCAGACGCAAGCAGTTTAAAATATGATCGTGAAGAAGAAAGAATATTGAGAAAGGGAGTGGAATGTATACTTCATCGGTGATATACTAGCTGGACATCAGACTGAGAATCGTATTATGCTTGAAAGTAGAATATAAATTGCCCAGAAATTTTTATAGTTTCCCGCTTTCTATTATAGTTGGAGTTTTTATGTTAAGCATTTAGCATTTATGTGTGTTACTGTGCGGCAGGTACGTGAAAAAGATTGCCGTTAGAGTTGCGTGTTTGCGGCTCTTTTGCAATCGTCTATTGATCATTTGGTTAAAAAGGCGTTGCTGCATTTTTATGGTTACGTTATTAAAATTTTTCATATTTACGTGCAGAGCGCAAACAGTTATGCTAATAATAAGCTTTGACTAATCATAACTATAATCCTACTCGATTATACAGCACAGTTTTCGTCCGTCGGCGAACTTTTCCGAGATAAATGCATTCCATTTACATCTTCAAATACCTTTTTGGTTTCGACTTTATTCGTTGTCTAGTGGTCGAGTGGTTAAAGTCTGGTGAATACTGAGAGGTCGACTTTGACTCGTTTCTAGGAGAACGGGCTGGCAGCATAGTGGTTTTCGTGATTTTCTTCGTGTGTAACATGTTGCCTTCCTGTGTATTTAAATGAATCGCCCATAAGGCGTTTCTAAAAGACAAAAAAGATTTATTGAAAGGTTAAAAATATACTCGTAAGTTAGTAGCCCTACACGTAACTTAAACATACATATCCTAATAGATGTTCACGTAGCACCGTATATGTCTTTGTCTTTTTGAATGTACAAACAGAACTTGTTGGCCATTCTCAGTACATATTCCGTCTAATAACAATGAATAATTTACAGTTATCCTGGCTTTTCAATTGATCTCAGTTGTGAAACATTACCCGTCCGTACTTCAACATTACACATAACTTACGCGCATTACATCGTTCGTTACGTGTATTATATCGTTGCATTACGTACTTTACATCGTTACTTTACGTACATTACATCGTTTTATTATATGTTACGTTCATTGCATCACGTCGTTCTTTACGCACATAACATATTTTTACATCGTCACATTATGTACATTGCATCGTTATGTTACGTACATTACATATTTTTTACATCGTCACATTATGTACATTGCATCGTTATGTTACGTACATTACATTTATTACATCGTTCGTTACGCACATTACATCGTTACATTACGTACATTACACACATATAACATTACATTGCTCTTCAACATTTGATTGTACTGAATGGAAAACTACAATCTTAACCTATTATATTTTCATAGTCATTTACAGATACAAATATTTTATTGCGTAGTTTGTTTCTTATTTTGTTAGCTGCAGTTGAGTATTAAAATATTTCTCTCTTGCAGCTTGGGTGCAATATACAAATAATAATAAAGAAACTTTACCAATCGATAGCACAATATCATTCGATGAAATGATAGTAGTGGAATATCTGTTGTACGTATTTTTGCCCCTAAACCCCATTTCTTATTAACGTTTCCGTTTCTCTTTTTTTCGTTCTTTTTCTTTCATAATAGTCTTTAACCATTCGTCAACACAATCCTCATCATATTCCTTGAGTGTTTTTTTCAAGTCACTCATTTCATGATTATCTGTAAAATTTTCTTCCAGTTCTTCTGTTGAAATTTTCAAATTACACCTCCTTCAAATTATAAATTTGTTTTTCCAAACATAGACATTTATAATCATGCATATAAACATGAATACGAGCCTTTAGAAAATTCTCCACGAAGACATCTCTTCGTTTAGGCGAATAGCTCTCGTATGCTTTGCCGTGTTCAGATAACCAAAGCTAACCTTTAAAATAGCCGTTTATTAGATAGTATATTATTCCAGATGTTGTGACAGATATCCTGTGACTTAGTTGTAATACAAAATTCATTTTTTTCTAAAATATTCTCATTTTTTGCAACGTAGTACCATGAATCTTCGACGTTGATTAATGGTTAAAACTGTAGAGCTGTGGTATTTTCTTTCCAGATTCGACTCCAGACAGACTGAGCTGTTTAGAGTACAGGAATTTATAATTATTACATTTGTAAGATAAATATTGTCTTTGGTTTAAAAATTTAAGATTAATACACTGTCTTTCAGACGTTAAGCATGCAGGGCGGATAAACAATTTTCGAAACCGTCGCTGAAAATTGCTGCAGATGCAAATTGCAGCGTATAAATATCGCATGTTACAGGCCGTCACGGACTGACTATTCGAACATATGGTAAGTAGGCAGCTGCCGAAGACGCCACCATTCTGAAAGATTTGAGGAGGTACATTTAAAGCTAACACGAAATGTTGATGACTTCCATAAGGTAATTTTTTAGGATATTCGCGTTGCTGTGGCTAAAAGAAGACGAATGGCAGGCATTGGCGTGCTGTCAGACGCATTGAAGCAGGATAATCATTAAAGATGTCGCTGTTTTCTTTGGCGTTGATCATTCGGTTATTTGTTGAATGTGGAAAAAATTCCAAATAAGTGGAACAGTAGTCCGGAGATCTGTGACTGATCGACCGAAGGTTACAACCCCTTTTGAGGATCAGTATATTGCTGTAATAGCCATGTAAACTCTGCAACTATTACATCCATGGTTCCAAGCGCCAATTGATAAGACTATCTGCTAGTACTATGCACTAAACGGACTCCACGCCCGATACCAAGTTTTGTGTTTGCTTATTATATAACAGAAATCAAACGAATGGTATAAAACCGGTTTTGTGAAGATTATAAATAAAAAAATAAATTCAAATATCAAGTAACTCAGAGCAGCGAAATACGAAACAGCAGCGAACGTGAAACATAAAAAGAAGTTAATATAAAAGACAGATTCAGGAAGTAGTTTTGTTTAGAGGTACTATAACACTATATATATTCTTGAATATGAGGTGACCAAGTCGAGGGGAGCGATATATCTACCATTCTGTTATCAGTACATCTACGTACAAACAAAAGTAATAATTTCTTTGGTCGATAATATTTATTTATAAAATATATTTGTTTTTTTGATTTGCATAAAACTTTTTGTCGAAAGTGTTCTGTAAAAATTTTAGGTTTAAGTTTATGCATCGTACTGTTGAAGGTAAAATTCGCTGTCTTTTTTTTAAAAGTGCAAAATTTTTTGTACGTCGCCATTAAACGACCAAAGAGACAGCATATAAACGCTCAATAAAAGGTAAATGTTGAGACCGTACTAATGAAATAAGTTGTGCTTGATGCTTGTTGTTCATTTGAGCAATAAGGATTACCCTTGTATTTAAATAGTATATTCTAACTTTTAAAATAGAAATGATCTTAGACGCCTAATATTTATGTTAAAGAATACACGGTATGCGTTCTTCAATGTCGCGGCATGACCTGTCTTCTTTCATGTATAATTGAGCTTTGCGATGTCTGTCACAGCCTCTCTGGGCGTTGGACGTGTGTATCATGAGCTTCTTTGGAACAAGTTAGATACTTGGAATACCTCGACTTGTTCGTCTAGTTAGAGGTCATTAAGAATTGAAATGAATGAAGGGTTGATCTTATGGTAAATGAAGAACCACGGTTTATGACCATTATAGAGGGTTGGTATTTGCTTATTTATTTCAACCCAATTAAGATTGTCTAATGTTGCGTTAGAAGGGAGTTGAATATTTGCTAATAGCGAATTATGATGACAGTTGTTTGTCTAGGAATATTTATGTAAGAATATATGAAAATTGTCAGAAATTATCTTTCAATACTTACGTAAGTGCTCTATAAGGTACATATGAAGAGAATTGAGGTACAATAACATGTATCGTAATTTTTCGATTAAGAGAGGTATTGTAAAACGCAAGTATTACGAAGGAGAAAGTAACAGTAAGAAAGAAAAAGATTATGATTTTAAGAAAATTAAATACTAAACTGTAACTAACATTTATTTTTCTTAAATTATAAGATTTCGTCTACTAATTTATTTTACTAATAAAATTCTATAATTATAAAATTTGATTTACTTATAATATACTTATATTTTGGAAATATAGACAGACCTAAGAGGAATAGTAACAAAATAAAATCGAGACAGACTGAAGACATTTCTGATATGAACATTTCCCATTGGTCTTTAAATATTATTATATTTATTTCATAATTTCTTCTAATTCGAGAACTTTTTGGTTACGTTTCATTCAAAACCGTGGCTTTTCTATAGAATCTCCATTATGTTATGTCAGAAGCCTTTGTCGTACGTTGAAAATTCCTAATTGTATTACCTTCAGGTATCATAAAAAGAAGCACTATATGGTTTTTCATCATCTTTTTACAAAATTCCATGATATATCTCTTTGAATATCGCGTTTTTTTTTTTTTTTTTTTTTAAATCGAGGAATTGGAATTTTTCAGCAGTAAATAGATGTATGTTTGCATGAAAGTCTTGACTGATTATTAATTTTTCCCGTGTGATAAGGCTTTAGAGATTATTATGGATTTTACGCGATGACACCTAAACTGTACAACAAAAATTTTACAACCGTTAAGCGTTTAGACACTTGCGTATCAGTATTTTCAGTGATGGCTATTTTCTGTTTTGCAACGCTTTGCGGCATTTATGAAGTCTCATTCCCTTTTTTTTTTGACATCCGGTTGTGCTTTGTCTTTTACTCTGCATGCATTTATGCGTTGACTGTCTTTGCTTCGTTCCCATCAAAGTCATTGGAATGAAGCATTGTCAGCTGAAAAAGAAGTGCATTGTAATATTTTTTCCCCCGTAGTTCGCGTGTTGAACGGTGAGAATGACAATTAGTTTTTTCCTCTTCCCCCCTGTCTTTCTGTCTCTTCTGTGATTGTTTTGATGTATT